AAGGAAATAGAAAGATCGCCTTTGTTCTTGGATAGGAAGAATCAATATAGTGAAAATGGCCATACTTCTAATACTTTTTTGCATATTTAATGCAATTCTGATCAAAATTACAATAGTTTATCTCATATAATTACAGAAAAAAATCCTAAAAGTCATGTGGAACCAGAAGAGACTTAGAATAGCAAAGGCAATTCTTTGCAACAAAGGCAAGAAAGGGAGCATCACAATTCCCGATATGAAATTATGCTATAAAGATACTGTGACAAAAACAGCATGGTACTGGCAAAGTAACAGATCTGAGAATCGGTGGAACAGAATGGAAGATCCAGATACAGCTCCAAAACACTCAACCACCTTATGTTTGAAGGGCCAAACATATTCACTGAAAGAAAGATAGTCTCTTTAATAAATGATGTCAGAAGAATTGGCTTTGTACATGCTGAAAACTAAAACTAGACTCGTATCTATCACCATGCACTAAACTAATGTCAAAATGGATCAAAGACCTAAATATTAAAACAGAAACACAAAATCTACTGGAAGAGAAAATAGGTAGAAATCTTGAAGGCGTAAGTAGAGGCAGAGACTTCACAAACAAAACACAGATCACAGAGGAAATACTACAATAATCAACAAATGGGATCTTACTTTATTAAAAAGCTTAGACAGAACAAAATAAATCACAAACAGAGTGAAAAGACAACCCACAGAGTGAGAAAAATGTATAATCAATTGTCCCTCAGAGGCAAGATTTATATCCAGATCATATAAAGAATTTTTAAAAATGCAGGCCCTCAAAATTCAAAGACCCAATCCAAAATGCGCATCTGAGATGATGTAGATTTCGCAGATGAAGAAACACAAATGGCAAATAAATACAAGAAAAAGTATGCATCATCATTGGTCCTCTGAAAGACACAAATTAAAACAATGCTGAGAATCCATCTCACTCCAGCAAGAATGGCTATCATCAAGAAATCAGCCAATAATAAACACTGGAGGGACTGTGGGTAAAATGTAACAATTCTTCACTGTTGTTGAGAGTATAGATTGGTGTCCACCAGAAATCAGTGTGGAGATTCAAAAAAAAAAATAGGAGGAGAAGTCCTATTTGACACAGCTATTCCTCTTTTGGGTATCCTCCCTGAAGAATTTAAAATATCATACCACAGTAGCATATGTGCACCCATGTTTATAGGAGCACAATTTGTAATAGCTAAATCTTGAAAACAAAACAATGTCCACCAAGCAACGAGTGGATAAAAAGATGTTGACTACCTATGCAACGAAGTTCTACTCAGCCATAAAGCAGGATAAATTTGAGACTTTTATAGGTAAATAGTTGCAACTCGAGACTATACTCATAAGTGAAAGAAATCAGACCCACATGTGTAAACATCATATTGTCTCACTAGTATGAGAAGCTCAACAAATAAATAAGATCCAAAGTGTACCATAGGTATTGTGAATTTGAAAGAAGATCTTTAAAAGGAAAGAGAAACTATGATGAAGGAAAGGAGAAAGGAAATAGGAATAAGGAAAATTATATATGTATATATGTATATAGATATAAAATGTTAAGAAAGTTTTAGTACAATTTTTCTCCATTTACTGGAAAGAAAGGTTGTACTAATATTATATGGACAATATTTCATGCCTATATCTTGTACTCATGCCTATATCTTGTACTACTTTGAAAATAACAATACACATTGTATTACTTATTATTATTCTCCTATTACATTGTTTTGAAGTTTTGCTTTATATTTACTTCTTAAAATAAAAAATAAAATAAATTGACATCTCTCCAAACAAGATATGCCAATGAATAGCAAGTACACAAAAAGATGCTCAACACTGGTAGTCATGAAATGCAATTCATAAACACAATGTGATACTGATTCAACCTCCCATAATAAACATAATTATGATGTAAAAAGTTTTGTGAAGCATGTGAAAAACTAGGGACCTGCATACATTGCTGGTGTGATGTAAAATGGGACAGCCACAGTGACAGTTGGTTTGGCAATTCCTCAAAAAGTTAAACATTGAATTAGCTTGTGACCTGAAATTCCTCTCATTGATATACTTAAAAGGAATTAAGAAAGTGTTGTCCACATGGAAATTTGTGCATGAATGTTTATTACTTTAGTCAAAATGACAAAAAGACAGAAATCATCCAAATGTTTATTCACAAGTGAATGGAAAAATTATACTTGAAACATAAAATGATCATACAAAGAAATAGATACTAATACACAGTATAGTTTGGATGGGGATCCAAAATATTATTCTGGGTGAAAGATACCACACACAGTTGGTTGCAGGTGATTCAATTTTTATGAAATATTCAGAATATGCAAATTAATAGACAAAAGATTAGCAGTGCAGTGTGGAGGAGGGTGAGGTAAAGGGTAAATGGGGAATGATTATTTAATATTTATGGTATTAATAATATTTAATATTAACAATAGTAACAATTAATAAAATTACAATATTAATATTTTAATATTAGTATTGTTCTGAGGTGCTGGAAAAATTTTAATATTGTGAGTGCACTTTTGAGTGTGCTAAATACTACTAGATTATATGATTTTAAATAGTCACTTGTATATTATGTTAATTTCACCTCAGTTTTAAAAAATAGATTATTATCTTGTTTAGCATCATTCCTTTTTAAATTTAAAAATTCAAATATTACATCAAAAATACATTAGATCATATTCCAAGATACTAAACCTAATTTTCAATGAGTGATTACATTCAGGTAATTTTAATTTTTTCTCTTTGCTTATGTTGCTTTTTTAGAAATCTATAACTGTAAGTGTTTTTAATGGGTTTTGTTGTTCTTGTTCTTGTTCATTGATGTTGTTGAGTTTTTAAGGGTTTTTTGGGGGTTTGGTTGTGTTTTTTTTTAACTGAAAATCAAACTCAGGACCTCTCACTTGCCAGGTAGGTTTTGTGCTACTGAGCTATATCACCAGCCCTGAAAATCTGCACCTTTAGAAATTAATTGCATGTTGAGTTTTTTTTTAAACTAGGAGATAGTTTCTCTGGTTACACTGACTAGATTTTTAATGTAGTTACAATATTTAAATTATAGAGATAAATAAGAAGAAATACAGTAAGAAGTAAATTGCATTGTATATACCGCATTGTCCTGAGTATTTAATATATCTCACTACATGAGTTTAGTAGTCTGTGTCACTGTGGGAATCAGTATGGCAAATTCTCAAAAATGTAAAAGTAGAAATTCCATTCAGCCCAGTGGCTCCCCTTCTACGTATCTTCCTAAAAAAGTTACAGACCTGTTATTAGAGTGATTCACTCACACATACCCATGTTCAGAGTAGCAGAATTCATAACCGCTACATCTTGAAAGCAACCTGTATGGCTGTTCATCAATAGATGGATAAAGAAAATGTGGTATTTGTACACAATGGAGCACTACTCTTCTATAAAGAGGGATAAACATGAGTCATTTGTAGAAAAATGGATGTATTTTGAGACCAAGATGTTAAGTAAAATAAAATATTCACACAGCTTAGATATCACATGGATTCTCTTTCCTAAGAAATATAAAGTATAACTAAAAGAGCAAAACAAAAGATAAATAATAGGAAACAGAGAGATAGATCTTTTACAAATAAGAAGAGGACTAAGATACAGAGGGAAGGGAAGGAGAGGGGACAGGAGGAGGACTAAAAAGAAGTAAGATGTGTTACACACCAACTCCTCACAATAAATGTAATCATATAACCCGAACACAAACTAGTAAGGGTTTTAACTATCTGTGGGAGGCAGACAAATAAATGTTATTCTTTCCTTTTGACTGGCTGAATTTTCTTAATATATATCCTATTTATAATCAGAAAGATAATTTTATTTTTAAAGTATTTATATTCACGAAGTAAACTTAAAAACAAATCCAGCTTTGATAAATGTTGGTGGTTCTCTATTAACAAGGTAGACACCTTCACTGGAATTTTAAATGCTCAAACATAATATTCCTCATAGAAAAAAAATGTAAAATATAGAAACATAAAGAGGAAACTTAAATCACCAGAATCCAACTAATTATAGATACAATGATCCCTCAAACAACATGGTATCAGAGGATTTAGTTTATGATAACTGGCTCCAAGTCTGAAACACTAGGGCAGAAGGCAACTCACTTCATACAGCCCAGGAAGCACAGAATAGGAAAAACAAGGGACCTAAAAACAAGGGACCAATCCCCAGATATAGACCCCAAGGTCACACCTCAAAGCCCCACCCAAACACACTCAAAACTTCTTAAGCTTCTCTTAAGTCACTGAAGTTGACAGAGAAAGTTTACGAAGCATCAGCAGTTGAATGACCTGACTATCCTTCAAATAACCAATACTTTTCCACCATTAGTTCAGATAGTTTGAATGGAGTCCAAGACAGCTCACCCAAGTAGGAGTAACCTATGTCAATTTATGAATTGAAATCCTAAAACCCACAGTAATTTGCTAATTTAGAACAATAAACACCAAGTACAGAAATTTTATTTAAAAATATTGAGAAGAAAGATGGACTCCATCACACCGAATATTTCCAATATGTAAAAAAAGATGTTTAGGATTCTTTTGGAAGATGGCTATAATGATGTAAGAGTCACCAGAAAGACTTAGTCAATGGTGGCCATGATTTGTTTCTGTTTGTACAGCACTCCACCATGGCCTTCCTGAAAATGGGTTACTGGGATTCTGTTTCCTTCACTAGATGGTTAGCTCTCCCTCCAATATGCTTGATTTTAGCACAGGTATTGGACTTAATGCTCATCTGCAGAACCTATACTGATGACTCAGAAGTCTAGCATTGATAATTCTGTCACAGGGAACCCAGGTTTCTGAGGCTTTACTGGCAAATACCACAACCTACAGGGCTCAGTTTGCATTCTTGGGTTCCTGGTAAGGCCTAGAACACGTGGTTTACTGTGAATCATCAGCTGTGGTCACTGAACAATTCTCACATGAACACTTAGAAGATGTCTTCAGGGCAAGGCAGTGGGAGTAATGTACTTTCCTAGAAGGCCACCCAGGATGAAGCACCACAAAACAGTGGGAAACATGAGATCACTGAGCCAACTCCTCCCCCTTCCTCTGCTGGAGGCTAAAAGACAACATGGACAAAGCTCCAAAAGCTCTGGCTTGGAGACCCTTCTTGGGATGATGCAGCTACTCCTGATCCTGTTGGCTTTCTTTCTGCCCCCCAGGACAAAGGCAGGTAAGTGACCCTCTCCACCCTCCAGAGGCCCAATCCCATTCCACAGAGCACATAGATCCTCTGTCCCTGTGCACATTCCTGATTCTTCTGTCTGCCAGCATTGCTCTGAACCTGAACTCCAATCCCACAAGATTGGAGAACCTCAGGTAGGACACTTCATAAGCTATGAGAGGCTATTCTTAAGGAGAGCCAGTGGATACTGTCCCCTCAATAAGCCATGCCTTGGACATCTAGAAAGAGGGCCATTCCCCAAAGTTCATGCAGGTGGTAAGAAGTAAGAAAGACAAAATACCAAAAGCTCCTGGACTGGGCAGAATGGCCTTTCTTCCATGTCAGGAGAGGGAAAAGATGTTGCCTTCATCAACTGCCTAGCAGAGATGCCCAGAGCTCAGAGACCTCAGAATGGATAGAATCTGTCTTCAGAACACCATTTTTGCCTTTTCTCAGTCCTAGTCCCCATATCCACCTCTTCTTTTCTTCTCAAGCCTTTACTGGCTCCTCTGCTTTCCAGTAGGAGTCACAGAGGTAGACTCCAACTTCTCTGCTTTCCATAATCCCATCTGCACTGCCCTACCAAATTTCATCCAGATTCTAACTTTGGCTTTTCAGGCAGCCAGTGAACTGTTCTGAGGCACCCACTACATTGAAGGCCCTAGAGAATGGGATAAGACCACATCCACAGTACACCTGAAGCCCTGCCAGGAGGAAGCATTACCATCCTAGAAGTCACAGGACTCAGAAGGGTTTTAGATACTCAAGGGAAATAAAGAGTCAGCAGAGGAATGATGAAAAGCTCAGGGGTTTTATTTTCCCCAGATATGTATATTCATCTCCAACCAAATGGAGAAAAAAGATTTGTAGACCTAGATGTGATTTCCCTCACTCTGGAAAAGGAGTTGAGGTTCCTTCTTCTAGGTTCCTGCTGACTGCAGACACCCACAAGCTCCTAAATGCCCAGCGCTTCTGCACCTACTAAGAAGATGCTCATTCAGTGACTCAGTGGCTGCACACAAACAGTCTTTCTGTTTTACAGGAGAGATCATTGGGGGACATGAAGCCAAACCCCATTCCCGGCCCTACATGGCCTACCTTGAAAGCTGGGATAACCATTCTCTAACGACATGTGGTGGTTTCTTGATACACGAGAAGTTTGTGCTGACAGCTGCTCATTGTCTTGGGAGGTAAGAAAGTAAACACAGCCCACAATCTCCAGAAACACTTCCCAGAGCCCTTCTTCCCAAGGAGCTTCCAGAGCTCCTGGAGACACACATGCAGGAGGCTCATTGAGGGTGAGAAAGTGCCATCCAAGGGGAGATAAGCAAGTTGATACCAAAGAATTCCTGACATAAGGAAAACCAGGATAACCAAGCTTGATATGTGTAGACCCACGACCATGCTTTGGCATAACCATGCAGAGTAAAGCGCTTTCATGTGTTTTCCTGGAGGCACTGACCCCTGATTATCTCTGGTGCCCAAGTGCCCTTGGTAATAAGAAAAAGGAGGCACAGTCACTCAGCCAGGTGGCTTTCTGTCATATGCACCTGCACCCTGTAACAGCTGTAGTCTGCTCTTCACACCTCTAGGGCTGTGTTCTCTGTGGTTCCACATCACTCAACCCACTCCTCTTTGTGCAGCCCAATTAAGGTCACCCTGGGAGCCCACAACATCAAGGAACAGGAGGACACTCAGCAGGTCATCCGTGTACAAAAAGCGTTTCCCCACCAAGACTATAATCCGAAAATCGTCATCAATGACATCATGCTGCTGAAGGTAAGGCACATGTCCTTGTGGCTCTTTCTCTCCTCAAAAAGGTTGCCACTCCCACTGTCACCCTGCCCCTACTCTCTTTACCATCATGTCCATCACACTGTGTATACCCAGGATCATACACTGAACTGGACTTCCATACTTATTTTCCGCCAGCTGGAGAAAAAGGCCAAGCTGACTAAAGCTGTGCAGCTCCTCAGGCTGCCCAAGGGCAAGACCCAGGTGAAGCCAGGTACCCGGTGCCAGGTGGCTGGATGGGGACGATTGTCCCCATGGGGAAGATTTCCAAGCACACTGCAAGAAGTGGAGATGGTAGTACAGAAGGACGAGAAGTGTGAGGACCTCTTTCCAAAGTATTATGATCGTGCTACTGAGATTTGTGTTGGAGACCCAAAGATTAAAAATGCTTCCTTTAAGGTAAGAGTAGGCATCTGTCACACCTGGCTTTGTGGGAAAGAGTGTTTGGGACAGATCTAGTACCAGGAGACCCAAGCATCATGGATTCCTTTACCTAGCAGGCTGTGGTGTTTCTCCCAGAAAAGAGAAAAAGGGAGCTGCCTGAGCTGGGAGGTACTAAAGCTGCTACCACTTTACCAAGGGGCCTCTGGTGAAGGAAACACAACTGGAAGCTTCGTTTGTAAACACATTGCCTGAGCTCATGGCACAGGAACCAGAAAACTGTTTCCTTGGTGTGCAGGAATTGTAACCTCCTCTGAGACAGCAGCCCTCTTGGTCAATGAGCTCATCCTCTGTGCTCAGTGTCGGACCTGCTCATCAGCCTTCTTGGCCTATAATCAATGGTCCTCACTACTGTACAGGGGTGAGGTCCAGACCTGGGGATGAACACAAAGGCTGCTACAAGAGTGAAAATCTCCATAGTCAGAGCTCAGCAGCTAAGAGCCTGTAGTTCCCTCTAATCTCTCACAAGCAGACCTTACAATCATTACTGTATGAGGGGGTTTGGAATAATGGAAGTGAGAAGTTAAGTGGTGCACTGGTTCACAGACTCACTCTCTATTTACAGGGTGACTCCGGAGGCCCCCTGGTGTGTAATAATGTGGCACAGGGCATTGTCTCCTATGGACCAAAGAATGGAACAACACCACGTGTCTTCACCAAAGTCTCACGGTTTCTAAGCTGGATAAAGAAAACCATGAAACAGAGCTGACTGCACACAGCAAACTAAATCTCTTCTATGAGCAACCATCTTACCTGGAGCTGAGTCTAGAAACACTATAGAGCAGATCCCAGCAACTAAATAAATGTTTCATCTCAGTAGGAAGGCTAGTTTCTTATTTAGTCACTTACTTTGGTTCATGGGGACCAACTCCGTGCTAAGCAGGACAATGACACAGTTCTGATGATTTCAGCCTCCTCCACTCCTTCTCTACTCAATACCTTTCAAATCCGCACTCAAAACTGTTAACCAACTCTTCCTTATATACTTTAGCTTCTCCAGAGCCTCTTTTTGCAAGGGCTATAGTTAAGCACCAACTGAAGAAAAAGTGGACATCTTTCTTTCTAGGACTCCAGGGGAACATGCGACTTCTTTTATGTCACATGTAGAGGGGAAGGGGATGATTTCATGGGTCCTGGAGTTCAGCCACGCACCACTGAGGTCACAACTGGACCCCATCAGGCTAGGTAGGGGAAGGGTATTCCTGAGCAGGACATTTCTCTCCCACAGCTTTAGGGATACACATGGAGTGCAGGGCAACCTGAATGACTCTTCACCTTCACCTGAAATTTGTTTCCTTCTCCATTCTCCTCTAAGATCAAGGCTAACCTTGGCTTACAGCCACCTGGCTGCCCATTTTTATCCCTCTGAGAGTTGTCACCGTCTACCAACTACTCACCTTACGAGGCCACACTGATCTGATATTGTAACCTCCTGAAATCTCCCAATCCAGGATCAAAACCTGTCTCTCTTCACAAGTTAAGGAAACCTGGGTTCAGCACTGGGTGGTGGCCCTTATTCTGCTTAGCTATTGTTCTGACTGAACTTAGGACTCTCTTGGTTCCTCACAACTACAGATACTGGTTTAACTCTTTATTCACACCATGAGTTTCACTGGACTTGGTAGATTGAAATTTATTTATGAGAATTTCAATAAGTTTTGCTGGCATTACAAATATAATCTCCTCCTGACTGTGACAAGACTGGAACAGTTTCTGTATTAGTGCATACAAAGTGCTAGGACAGAGGCTGGGAATTAGTTCATCTGCAAAGGCATCTGCCAGGCAATCACAAGATACTGAGTTCAGTCCTAGGTACAAAACAAAAAGTAGTGCCAGGTCTTAGGTTCTATGATGAACATAATAATAGATCCCAGTGAAGCTGGAATGGTCACAGGCTTTCCAAATAAACTCCCTCTCCATCCTCCAGATTACCCCATGAGACGTATGTGGAAAATCTGTGAAATAAAATATCTTATTTATATTTCTGCTTACAGTTTCTATCAACATTATCACATGACACGTCAAAATTGTATGAGATTTAGAAATGACCTTAGTCACACACTTTTCAGATATGAAGTTGCTAAATCATTCAAAAGAGGATCTGTCACATGGGGAGCAGGAGCCTGTAGGTGATAAGATAATGAGGCAGGGTTATTTTCATTTGTTTGAAAAGAAACAGATATAAATGTTATCATACAAAATCCAATTATAGGAAACACATATCCAGTCAACCTACTGGGAACCATAATCCCTGTCAGCACTACAGGACCCTCCTCTGAAGAATCAAACTTGAGTCATGGATGCCACCACAGAAGAAAATGTGGAGATATCTGTAGTATTTAGGTCATCATGGTTACGGATACATCCATTATACCTAATATTATCCAAGCTTATCTTTGTTGAGAAATTCATAGCTTAGAGGATACAACATGCATGGCATTTTGTTGAACAAATGTCCTGTGGGTGCTGGCTTTACCTTGCTGAACGTTCCCTCCACCTTGGTCTGCAGGGGCAGGTCACTAATATCCACACTGCCTGGCAGAATTTGGCTCAATCTTAATGCCTCTATGTCTCAAATACACAAAATACTACATTCTTTTGTGGCACAGAGTTAAATCTTACTCTGAGATCATGTAATTCTCAAAGGCATGCCTTCTCCCATCTGTTTACAGAGCATGCTACATCATGGTCTCATAATTAATTGTCTTGTGTAGCTTTACAAGGAAAAATCAGCTTCTGACTTGAGCCTGAAAACCAAAATTCCTGCACCTAACACCTACTGAAGATCTGTCTCCTTCCTCAGGAAAAAAAAATGAAAATCCACAAAGCAAAAAACAAAAAAATAATATTTAAAAAAGTTTCCCAGTCATATACATGAATACTCCCGGGTTCTAATTACTTTGGGAAAATGGGTTTGTAGTTTAAAACTCCTTTGAAAAGCATTCCTGTAGATTGGTCCCAATCCTACTCTAAAAGAATAGAAACAAACAGATTCCCAGGAAAAGATAGAGATGACCAAAAGTAATGCAGAAGTTAGGAGAGAGCTTGGCCTGAGCCAGATTCCCTAACCGTCAGCCTACCAGCAGCCCTGGTATTCTAACTCTCTGTCCATATTTTGGCTCCATCTCCGCAATGTTGAACTTTCTTGGTCTATTGGTCTTACTTCTGAATAACTAGGCAGCTGTTATCTGCTTAAGTGGGCCACAATGATAGGTAGATGATTGATCTGATTTCTAAGGGAAGATAGGATTTGCTGAATTGACCCTTAGTGACAGTGAATAAAAGTCAATGGAAGGCCATCACAGGGGTATCCTGACTGCACCAGGTTACCTTGCTAGGACAGCTGAGTTGAGATCTACCAATTTGTGACTTTTATTATCTACAAGGAAAGGTAATGGAAGTTTGCATTTTGACATAGATGTGGACTGTTACCTCTATTCCCCTTGACATACTATCCAAGGTTTCTCATCCTTTTTTATCTACACTTTTAGTTAGTAATAGGTATCTCCCACACTGGAATTTTATATAACCTATCTATAGTAGCTGGTATATACTCTAACGCACAGTAAGAAACGAATATATATAAATTCCCATTGCTTTCACCAAGTACTATTTTTCCCATCCCAGGATTTACTCAATCAAATGATACTTAAAATTATTTCAAAAATTCTTTTCTTGAAGCTGTTTATGGTGTTCTAAGAGATGTTATGGTATATACATACAATTTGGAATAATTAACTAAGGCTGATCAACATAACCAATAGTTTAATAATTATGATTTTTTATACTCAGAGCATCTGAAATTTGCTCTTAGCAATTCTGAAATATACACTACTAAATATGATCAGTGTGATGTATACACACTACTAAATATGATGTAGTTAGTGTGATGTACAATAGATATCAAAAATCTTATTTCTCTTGCCTAGCTAAAACTTTGTACCCTCTGACCAACATTTCCAAATGCTCCTAAATCCCTAGCCTGTGATAACCACTGTTATACTCTATATCTACAACTACAATGGTTTTCAATTCCCCACGTTAGGTAACAACTTATATTTGTTCTTCTGTGCCTGGCTAATTTCGCTTGACATAATAGCCCCCTGGTATATCCAGGCTATTGCAAATGGCAAGATCTCCTTTTTTATTTGGTTTGGTTTATTTATTTGGATATATGTGTATATATATATATATATATATATATATATATATATATCCTATTAAAACGTACATATCACATTTTCTTTATTCAATCATTGATAGACACAAGTTGACACTAGACTATTATGAATAATGCAGTAATAAAAAAGGGAAATTCAGGCAACTCCTTAGCACTGATCTCTAGTCCTCTGGAGAAACACTAGCATAGGATTTCTGGACAGAGTTTAAGTGCCCATGACAGCCTGTTCTATTTAGGTCCAAAGCATAAAGCATGCTCTCCTCTCCTAGCAGTACATCCTCTTGCAGCCAGGGACTCTTGGGCTCAGCCAGAAGCTTCAGTCTTGGTCTTGCCTGGGATACTGTTCTTCCACCTTTCACTGTCCACAATCTCAATGGTTCTATAAGATTCCTAGCAGACTTATTTCTATATTATTCTTCCTAGGTCACTATTAGATACTGGCTTATTTTCTACCCTATCCATAGAGGACAAAGAAGGCAGGACATATCCAAAGAAAGCTAGGCCGAGCATTCCACTAGGCAGGGCACTGTCAGTTCTCAAAAAGATAGGTCTTGCTCCTAAGCTCAGAGCCCACCCTCTGAGAGGACACTCAGCATCTTGATTCCTTTCAGCCTGTCCTTTCTGGTCATTGCTAACAGCACGATCTCTGAGTTGGAACTCCATGATTGATTATCTAGTCTGTAATGACCACTTAAGTGAGAGTGAGCACATCTACAACAGGACTAGAAAAGATCATTCTCTCATCCACTAATACATGAATTATTTTCAGGTAAATACTGTGTGTTAGGCAGTAGATACACAGAAAAACAGCCTGTTACATAATTTCTGTGGGTTCTCTCATTTTATATGCCACTTTTCTTGTGTGAGATTGTTGGTTCATATCTGGGTTTGAAAGTAGTCCTGCTCTGAAGATAATATTTATTTGAAGTGTACGTGCCACAAATACTGCCATGTGCCACAGGTTTCAAGTGCATCATCAGAGCAGACATAACAGCAGCAGGTTAGGGATCTAAAATGAACAAGTCAGAGTTCAGCAGGGACAGGTGGAAGATGAGGAGGAGGACAGACGGCATAAGCAAGGAAGTTTTGATCTGACACATATGCCTTGGTGCACAAACTTGAATATGAAAAGGTGGAGCAATCTCTTGGATCCATTACTAGTCCTGGGCTGATGTCAAATTTAATCCCCATTGCTAGTGAAGCCTAGCCACATCCAATAGTGAGCAAAATTAGGAAAGTTTACACAGGACAAAAACATCCTCTAATCTCAAGGTATAGTGCTCAGCCTAATTATATCACAATGTGCTGCACTGGACTCTTCGGATAGCCGAAGAATCACAGCTCCTCAGAGATCTTAGCCAATTCTGGGCTTTGCTGCAAAAAAAGTGTGTGTTTCAGTCATGAGTCAACATGTTTCTCTTCCTTGTCATTGCACTCTTTAAGGTTGGGCAAATTATCTATCTCTGTAATCATGGTCCTCAAAGAAATGTCCCTTTATACCTAGGCTCTGAACAAACTCTGTGGTGAGTACGTAAACAAGGAAAAGAGATTGTCAGTAGGCATAAAGCTCTGCTTCTGGAACCAAAAACAAACTGATGAGGCACAAGCATAAGAAAAACTCTGCTTTTTGTATAGAACCTATGAACAGAATGGCAAGAGAAAAAATATGCATTCCAAAAAATATAAAACTAATATGCATATTTTTCATTGTATTTATTTATAGGAATACCTTTTATGGCTAGCATGGATGAGCATAGTAAGTGTCATAGGTCTGTTGTGATTAATCAAAATATAAAAAGCTAATTTAACCTACTTTCACACACCCAGTTAGCCCCACAAATCAGAGATGGGCACTGACCTCCTACTATTTGATTCTGCAGTCTTTCAGCCAGGAGACAAGGTCTCCATCAGATACTCAGGACCAGAAGCCATCAGAACCATCTGACAACCATCCAAGGAAAAGTTTTGAATCTCCCAACCAAGGTGTTTTTCTAACTCTGCCCAGTAAACTCCCTGGAAAGAGAGCTTTCAGGCAGCCAGCTGTCTCCAAAGCATCTGCCTTCAGGGTGAGTGTTGGAAAGTTCTCAACTCGCACTTGCCACAGCTCTAGGTAATTTTGGTAAATTACTTAATGTGTTCTCTAGCCTACAGCCCAGGACCCTTCTTTAACTCCTAGAGATAATTATTCCAAACCCTATGATATGGAAAACTGTGCACCACTCACCCTATGATCTCAACTCTGGCCTTAGTCAGATCCCCTGATTCAACTCAGTATGAAGCACTGTATGGTGCTACCTGTGCCTGCTTGGTATCTTCAGAGATGCAGAGTGAGCTTGCCTAGGTGCTATGCTCTAACTACAACACATACTTGCTTGCAACCCAAAAAGGTGACCTCAGGGTGCTATTTCCAGCACAGTAGGTAATTCGGACTAGAAACTCAAGTAAACAGCTTAGATGGATGCACAATCCCTAAATTAGATGAATGAGGATCATAACCACCAATAGAACAACAAATAAGCCATAAGTACTTGTGGAATATAATTTATGAAATAAAGAAACAAAAAGAAAGAAAGCTTTAAAACAAATTTGCCTTTAACTTTCTTCAGTGTCAGTGAGCAAAGGGTTCAATCTTTAAGGAGGTTGAAGTATGGAAAAAGGCAAGCACTCAGGAAGGAGTGATGGGTCAGGGAAGTGACCACACAAACAAAAGAAGAGTCTTGACTGAGTTGATTAAAGAAAATTTACCTGATTCAAACAAAACTGACTTGGATTAAAAGGGTCATCAAAGACATTACTTTGAGTAGAGGCTATTTTCCTTAGAATTCATCCCTGCAGACACCTATGACTTAACATGCACCTTAGATTTCCAGACACCCAAGCCTCTCTTCACTTTGTGACTCAACAAATTACCTGAAGCCATAGGAATTTTCTCCAGCAGAGACCAGCAAGAGAGCAGCCTCAACTCTAAAAAGAGGAACAGTTAATAGATTCACAGACAACACTGAACAATTCCCAATGAGAATCAGCAGTGTAATGATCTAGGCTCCTGAAACGCAAAACCTGAGTGTCAACATTCATACCACACAGATCCTCAGAGAGCCTCAAGCAGAACCCAAGTTCCTGTTGACTGGCATCCCTTGAAGAAAAGGGAAATTGGGACATAAAGACACACAGAGCCTTACCATGTGATGATAGGTACAGATCGGAGCTATATATTCACAAGCCAATAAGTGAGAACTACTGTTGATGGAATGGCCTTAGATCAAGAATGTTTACCCAAAAGCTTTTGCATTCAGAGGTGGGCATTTGGAAGACTATTTTCTGGGATCAAGAAATGCTAAATAATGAACATCTAAGCAAAGAGGTTACTCATTGCCACAGAGCAAATAATGATTTATTATGATCCAGTGAATTTTGATTCCCAAACTTTTCTTCTTAAGAAATATTCCAGACTATTTGTCATGGTTTATGTCTGTGGCCCCCAGGCCTCATGAGTTTGCATTGTGCATTTCTGATGGTTCATTGTCTAGTGCTTTGATTGATGGTGTCAGTGCTCCACCCATATAGGCGTGGAGCCAGGATGTGATGTAATGGCTGGAAGAAGGTGTCTCTTGCTCTCTTTGCAGGTTCCTGCTTGCTGTTTCCAGCTGCCATGAACTGCAGCCCAACCATGTCTGCCTGCCTTGGAACCAACTGAGTGTGGACTGAAACCTGCAAAAACTGTAAAAAATAAACCTTTCCTTTCCCAAAGTGGGCTTCAGGTATTTTGTCTCAGCAACAAGTAAAAAGTAACTAAGACATTATCCATATTTAAAGAATATATTCTAATCATTTAAAAATCTGAGGCCATGATTGTGGCAAAATAGGAAACTGTTACTATTCAACCCAATAACAAACTGTCCATTTTCACATGTGTTTAGAAGAGGTCTGGTCTTTATCTCATATTACCAAGCCAGCTTCACCATCAAGTTTACCACATTGTTCTCTAAGCACAGATTTTAAGTTCACTTCAACCAATTATCAGCTTTTGAGGGAAGAACCCATCTGACTTTTCTCCTTGGCTCTAGCCTGCTAAGTAATTGTTCACAATCTTCACAGAATGAGAAAAGACACAAGAGCTGTGAAAAGGAGCCATGCTTGGTAGAGTTCAGGCTCTAGGCATGTTCTGAATTCTCTGGCCTTCTACTAGCTGCATGTACCACATGCTCAACTACCCCTACCTCTTGAGCTTTCTTCTTGCTGTGCCTTGTGACTCAGCCACAGAGCGGTTAGAGGTGACAGTGTCATATTCACCTAAACCGATCCAGAAAATGTTCGTAACCCTCCCTAGAAGGATGACACCCATCAAAACCAGAGGAGCATATATCTAATATATCAGCAAGGTCACAGGGCTTGTGCCCCATTTGTCGGGCTGCAGGGGCTCTATCTACTCTGACCTGGGCAGCCTTCCTGGGAAAATGACACCTCTTCTACTCCTGCTGATCTTTCTGCTGCCCTTGAGGCTGGAACACTGAGTTGGACATCCCTATTCCAGAGGTCTGAGCTCATCCCACAAAATCCTCTCCATTACTGACTTTTTTGTCAGCTTCAGTCTAGAACTTTCCTTGGTCTCACCCAGGAATTTTCTAACCACAGATTCATTTCCAAACCCAGACTCACAAATCCAAAGCTGGCTGAACACTTCCGAGGGTTTCAAAAGGAGGGTGTTCTCAGATGATTTAGTAGGTGTTAGCCTCTCCACAGAATTTTCTACATTATCTGGAAAGTGAGTTATCCTCAGAAAAACATTTAAAAAACAAAAATCAAGAAAACATAAAGCAGAGAATGTGAAGCAACAAAAGTAAGTAATTAAAACACGTTACTCAAAACCAGAAGAGGGCAGCTTAGACCATCATCCTGTGGGGGACGGGTGTCTCAGGACCCAGTTGCACTATCCAGTGCCCACCACCCCAGTCCCAGCCCTGAAGAGAATCTCAGGGTGCAGCTAGACTCAGAGGTGGCATGATGACTGCATCCACTTTTCCATTACCCTGGCTCCACCTTAGGTCTTTGCAGCTTCACTCTAATGATCTTTCCTACCTCTGCCTTGCTGGCTTCCCTTGTGGCCCCTGCCTTGGGTACTACTCATTCCTCCTAAAATTTTATGGCCCTCTCTCCCACCACACTATACTGGCCCATCAAGCACTGATGAAACATTGATTAGACATCGGATATATACCCTAAAACAACACCTTAGAAGACAGAATATATTAGGTCTAGATCATCAGGATTTTGGAGAATCCAAGTTCATAACTGCATAGGTAGATTGTTAGAATGTGCCACAATTTCAGAAATTAACAGAAGTTCAAACAGACTTGTAAGTTTGAGCGAGAAAACAGGAATGAAGGCAGCTGCCCAGTGTCTTCTGAAACTCTACCATCAGTCATCCCTCTTCCACGCATGTGTCCAAGGTAGGAAGTAGAAGATCAGCACTATCCTGACTTCCTCAGAACACCTGAGGTTTAGAAAAAGTCTGGCTCCAAGGCCCGCAGCCTGCAGACATAAGATGAATACCCGCTGCAGGGTACAGAGCACTCCAGATCCCATTCTCATCCCTCACATTCCTGAGTTTTCTCTCTTGACCACAATACTCCCAACCACCCCATCTTCAGCTTTTCTTTCAGAGGAGATCATCGGGGGTCATGAGGCCAAGCCCCATTCTCATCCCTATATGGCCTTTGTCCAGTTCCTGGATGGAGAGGAGATGAAGAGATGTGGTGGTATCCTGGTGCGAAAGAAATTTGTACTGACAGCTGCACACTTCAAGGGAAGGTGAGGAGGGACAACAAGACACATTTGCAAGAACCAACAGGGACTTCTGTCTTCTACAGGAAATGCAGTCTTAGGAGCTCCTGGGGTTCACAAACCCATAATAGCTCATCAGAAAGCAGGAAAGTGAGGAAAATGAAAAGTTTCAACACAGTATCTGAATGTATGATAATTAACTATATCAAGCATTCCAAGATAAATAAATGATTCCGAGGCTGGAAAAATAAAAGGGAGATGAAGGAAGAGGAGAAAAGATAGAAACAGAATGTGTTATACACATGTACTAATCTCTTACAGTGGATGTAGTCCTTGTGTACTGCAAACATGTAGAAATAAAAGTCCAAAAAATGTTTCTGTCCAGTCTTGGTGAGTTAACTACTTAGTGAGATCCTGTTTCAAAAATAAAAAAAAAAATAAATTTAAAAGGACTGAAAGCTTTAGCTCAGTGATAGAAAAAGTTTCCATCCCAATTAATTGCCTTAAAGAAGGAAAGAAGACTTGGAAAATGAAAGGCTAAGAAATAAAAGAGGTAAGTTTTGGAATCAGACAGCAAGAGTACAGAACAACTGACACAGGTGACAAGACAGCAATCACACTGCCAAGCAAAGCAGGTGTAAGCCTGCTCTGAATAGCTCCTCTGTGGTCTCACAACCTAAATCCATGCTCCTCTCTGTGCAGCTCAATAAGTGTCATCCTGGTGGCCCACAATATCCAGAAGCAAGAGAAGACCCAGCAGGTAATCTGTGTGAAGAGAGCCATTCCACACCCAGAATATACTCCTGAAACCTTCTCCAATGACATCGTGCTGCTGCAAGTGAGGCAAATCCGCTGCTGTTTCTCTTCTCCTACAGGGTTGTTGCTCCCAGTGGGTCCCTGCTCTTTTCCTCCTTGCCCTCATGGAAATCACTGTATGTAGGTCCAGAAGGCATAGGCTCTATGCCAGAGGCTAATCAAGACTATCTTGCTTATTCATCATCAGCTGGAGAGAAAGGCCAAGCAGAATAAAACTGTGCAGCCCCTCAGACTGCATGAGGACATGAGCCAGGAGAATTCAAGAGACTCATGCCTGGTGGCAAGCTGGAGAAAAATCACCCCATTGGGTCCCTTAGCAAGCACACTGGAGCTAACAGTACAAGACAAATGAAAATGCCAATCTTCCATCCATGCCTACTCTACTCTCACTGAGATTTGTGTGGGAGACCCAAGGAAAACAAAGACTGGTTTCAAGGTAAGGTTTCCACTGCCTATAGATACAGAACCCAGGGAAACTGAAACTTGGTGGGGAGATGACAGTGTCCATATCTCATGCTCTGAGTCCAGAGTTTGAAGGCCTGTCCTCTACAGCAATGCAGTGTTTAATCCATTCCCTGGATAGATAGGAGTAGAGGGTGGGGAAATAGCAGTAATCCAAATTCAGTGTAATCACTTGAGTATCTCAAGGATTGCACAGAAAGGTTCAGGTAGGTTAATACTGGAAAGTAAAGTCAGGGTGAGGGTAGAGCCTCTCGTCTGAAGGAGGCAGCCAGATGTACCCTGCCCTGATTGCATGCTCACAGCCCCCTGACAGAGGTCATCCACTGTGGTGATGTTCAAAGAGCAGCAACAGGAGGAGGTGTACTCCATGCTTTCCTTCTCTGTCCACAGGAGGACTCTGGGGATCCCCTTGTCTGTAAGCACATGATCCAAGGCATTTTCTCCTATGGAAAAAAGGCTGGGAATCCCCCAGGAGTCTTCATGAAGGTCTCCCACTTCCTGCCTTGGATAAACAAGACCATGGAGCAGTTCTAAGAGCAGGCACAAGATGGGCCTCCTCTGTGCCTCATCATCATTACTGAGCCATTAGAAAGACTCCCATGAGCCCAGGCCACTGCACAGTGACAATAAATGGATCTGAAGAATGACTGTCCCTGAAGTCCTATTTATTCCCTGAACCCCAATTAGCGTGAAGCTGCACTGCTGGCCATTCCTGCTGTGGCTTCCTCTTTTCTCCCCAGCCCTCCCTCTTTCCTTATCTTCATTCCCTTCTATACCTCATGGATTGCTCCAACCCATAATGTTTAATGCTCAGCTCTCCAATGTTGCTTGCTGGACACACAGTAGTGAATCTCAGCATTAGGAGGTGTCATCTTTCACAGGATCCCACCAACTTGTATTTCACCTTTCAAATGTAAATCTCTGTGCTTTACAAATGTCTAGCCATCTCTAAGGCAAGAACTTTCATGAGATGCCCAACAATTTGGCAGAGAATAGAGCAGGGCAGTGGAGAGGGATAATCCTAGAGATGCAGGAGTCAGGGCACTCACTTTCCTGTTTCAGCCCTTCTCCCCAGAGGGACAGGATTCTCCCCTTTCATTGCTGTGTGCTGTGTAGGAGGCTGAGATGGCTCTCACGAAGACCAGGTCCCACTTAGTGCCCTGCCCTGAGCCAGCAGAAAGTTCAGTCCACCTCCTACCTCACTGCCTGGCTTTTCCACACCAGCCCCTATCTCTATCTGAGTGCCTCTGGCCACCAGCTCCTTTCCTTTCCAGCTCCCTGCAGAGTTCCCAACTCTATGGAGATTCACTGCTATCAGCCTGTTCCAGAAAACATGCAACTCTCCACTTCACCTGGACAAGGCTGGTTGCACCCTGCTCCAATCCAGCATTCTCCAAGGCTCAGGCATCACCTCTTGTGAAGTCAAGGCAGTCTCATGTCTTTCTGTCTGGCCTGGCTTTGGAGTCCAGTGTCCCCTCCTGGCTGGCTTATGGATTATTGCATCCTGAGAGTCAGTCCAGAGAAGGTGGACAGGAAGGATCACTTATCCGTCTATCAGCAAACACTCTTCTGATTTGTCTTTTTGTAGCAGATATATAATAGGCTCTGGTCTCACCTTTGGAAAACTCTCAAGAGTGAGAAATTTCCTCTAAATATCTCTAACTTCTCTCCTTCCACCATCGCAAGTCAATTTACCCAAATAGACTTATACAGGGAATCCACTAAAAATCTTACTTTGAAAAACATTAAATTCTCTGTATTCTGTCTTGGTTGTGCATACAGTGTCACATGTGTGATATTTTTGTTTTCAGAAGTGTGTGATACTGGAAAGCCATGCAGGTTCTCATAGCCAGAAATAGCCCAGGTGTGGCCACCAGAGACTGGGTTCAGAGGTGTGTTGGGGAGGAGGACGAGAGGCAGCCCAACCAGGCTAAATTTCAACCCACAAACCTCCAAGCTGCTGCACTTCAGATGTGAGACACTTGTGACCTGCATGATCTCATTTAGGATCCCCTATCACTCAAATAGCACTACTCCTGAGTGTATGTAAGTGAAAAAACTCATAATAGTTATGCTTCATCAAGTGATTCCAATATCAAAAAGACCTTCTCTTCCAAGAGTTGAATATCTTAGGCAATAATAGCAAAAATTGCCAAGGAAGATTGCACTGATTTCAAAACCTTTGTACACAAAGGAATCTACAGAGTGAATGGTAACATTCATCTAAACTTGGGAGAAAATTTTGGTGAGCTACTTTTGTAGCAGAGGGTTAATATTCAAAGGTATAAAAATTCATAAAAGTTAATACCAACAAAGAATCAAACGGGTTGTGGTGGTGCATGCCTGTAATCCAAGCACTCAGAAAGCTGAGACAAGAGAATTGCTGTGAGTCTGAGGCCAGTGTAGGCTACATAGTGAGTTCAAATCTAGCCTGAACTACATAGCAAGACCTCATCTCAAAAAAATAAAGCAAAGCAAAACAAAACAAAACAAAACAAAACAAAACAAAACAAAAAACCCAGTTGGTAAGTGGGTACAGAATGTATACTTCCCCCAAAAGTACATACAACTGATGAAGAAGCACATAAAAGTGGGTTCAACATCTTTAGACATGAGAGAACTAAAACAAAACTACATTAAGAGTCCATTTTACTCCAGTCATAATGATTATGAAACAATAAATGCTTGTAAGCACTGGGTAAGAATATAAATTAGCACTGTCACCATGGAAATATATATTGTAACTCATCAAAAAAGAAAAGTATACTATACTGTAGAAATAATATAGATCGAGCGTACTCTAGAGGTACTTGTGCACCTATGCTTATTTCAGTGCAATTCACAAGAGGTAAGCCACAGAAATAGCCTTGGCCCTCATATGCTGATTAATAGATAAACACAATGCGGCATATATATACACTGGAGTATCACTGAGGGATAATGCCATGAAAAATGATTTCCTGAAACTGGAGATCATCATGTTAAGGAAAATAAGTCAGAGTCAGAATGACAAACATAGATGTCTTCTCTTAAATGTGGAAAATAAATGAGATGACATGCAAGTAGAGGAGAGATGATTAAAGAAGAATATAAACAAGGGGAAGGGGAATTAGTGGAGGAGGGAAATATTCAAAGTATGCTACATGCATGTACCCATGCAAGATAATACATGCAATAATAAAAAGATAGGTGTATCTCTGTTCACCGTGGTAAGTTGCATGGTGGGATTAAGGCTGACATGTTTCTTCTTTGTCTTTGAATTTATCCTATATTCCTAACTTTATAATTATTAAAGTTATTAAAAATACTTTGTCAAAAAGATGCATTAAGTAAGATGATGCATGTTAATATACCGTTGTGTTCTGTCAGAGATAAATGTTTACAGATAAAATTTAACCCACTAGTTTAAAATGTTCCCCCATAGTCTAAAATGAGTGTTTCTGATGAGAAGATTTTCCCCTTTCTCAATTATCCTGCTTTACACAATAAATTACACAGTAACCCATGATTAAGGGACGGAGGCTCAGTTCCACAAAAGATGGATTCCAAGTTTCCCAATTTATCTGATACAGGGCTTGTTGGGTTGAGGTGAGTCTGTAAGATCAGGCATGAGAGAATGCAATGGTTCAGGTCTGGAAGGTACCTGCATCCTTTCTACTTGCATCCATTTCCTACAAGAGTCTAACAACACACCTAATCTCAAAGGAGGCCAGACAGGGCTGCACCTGCCTGATAGAGGCTGGACAGTGTAGACATGTAGTTCACCTGTGTCCCTTGGAAGAAAAGGAAATGATTTTTTCTAAGCTTCTAGCTTTTCTCTGTCACAATGGTCCATAGTATTTGTCATTTATAAAGATGATGGGCCCTCCTTTTTTTTCTTCTGAAGTGAATGCATTCTCATTACAGAAAATTTAGATAATGAAAAGGTGAAAATGAGACACAAATTCTTGTACATATTTCCCTTTCACCTAACACACACACACACACACACACACACACACACACACACACACACAAACACACACACACTTAATATCAAATTATACACATAGTATTGCAGTGTACATTTTCCTCCTAACATGAAAGGCTACAGATTTCTCCAGGCCTTTAAATAGTCTTCTAAAACACCACTTTTAGTGACCTGAGAGTGCATTATCGCATGAATGTATCATGATCTATATTTCTCTTCTCCTATTGTTGAGTTTTTGGATTATCTAAGCATTTTGACAAGAAGGTCTCTGAGCATATGTTCACCTCCTCTTCCTTTTTCACGATACAGCAAGGCTCTCTCTGGGGTGCAAATGATGGGCAGGCAGAACCAGTTGTGTGAAAATTCCAAAGCACCAGTGAGAATAAAAGCCAGCAATTGTACCGTGGACTTGAATCTCTGAAAGCAGAGGCTTTTGTACCTGCTCTCCCATCCTTGGATCCCAGATCTCCACCTCAGACCTTGGACCTCCACCTTGGACCCCGGACCTCCACCTCAGACCTTGGACCTCCGCCTTAGAGGGCAGTCACTTCTGCACCTGCCCTGATACCCTGGGACCTCAGACCTCCACTTCAGACTCAGACCACTTCTGTGCCTGTCCTCCCACCCTCATATCCTGGACCTACACCTCAGAGTGGCCACCTCTGTGCCTGTCCTCCCACATTCGAGAACACTCCCACCTTCTGATGCTAGTGTGGCTGTTGATCTTCAGCTGCACTTCCTCCTCCCAGAACCTTGGACTTCAGTGGATTAGCCTTGCTGGATTAATGAGAGACTCAATAACCAAAAAGAGGACCTCAGCAGGTTTGCACTAGTATGGTAAATTTGCCTCTGAACTAGAGGCCTTCAGGTCTTCAATTCAAAAGATCATGAATACCTACATTGAAAATCCTCATTACTCATATAGGATGCAAAATACAGAGGAAACGGATGATTTCAAGAAACATGTGAACTACAAGAAACATGTGAACTACAAAAGCTCAATCAAGAAGACTTCAATAACCCAATATCAGCTTTGGAAATTGAAAATGTGATTAAAAACTTACCAACAAAAAAGTCTATGTCCTGATTGATTCATGGCTGAATTCTACAATAAATTTGGAGATGATTTAAGGCTAAAAATCCTCAAATGCTTTAATGAAACTGAAAGGGAAGCAATCCTCCTTACCTAATTCTGGGAGGCAAGTATTACTCTGATACCAACTCCAGAGAAAGACTCACCCAAAAAGAACTACAGTCCAGTCTCACTAATGAACATTGATGCAAAGATTCTTAATAAAATACAGGGCAAATAGAATGCAGCAAATCATCAAGAAGATTATACATCATGACCAAGTGGGGTTTATCCCAGGAATACGGGGATGGTTTAACATATGCAAGTCAATAAATGTAATACACCACATCAACAGAGCCAAAAACAAAAATTAAATGATTATCTCAATAGATGCAGAAAAAGCTTTCAATAAAATCCAACACTTGTTCATGATAAGAAAAACCCAGAAACTCAGAAGAGATGGTGTCTACATCAATGTGAAAATGGCCATCT